GGGCGTATCACTTGCCCATCAAGGAGGTAAGAGTGTTAAGCCAATGCATTAAATAGCTGCACAAAGCCCAAGGTCTGCTAGATGCTTTTAAACTCTTGTAGGTACAGAAATGAACAGATTACACTCAGTGTATTATACTTACAACAACATATAGAAGTCCAGGGCTAAAAACTTCCAGTGACAAGCATTGCTGTCAGTAGTCATTTATGGATCTCTGCAAAGACGCGATGGAGATGCTAAGTTTGTCTTTTGTTGTGAAATAAAATTAGCTAAGAATAATGTTAATTTTTGTACAGAGCAGTCATTTTTAGTTGGTTTTTGCTATAGTTGTAAGGACATAAAAATAAACAGGATAATGCCAGAATTGAATAGTTTACGTGCCAGGACAATGTGGAGCAGAGATAGGGATACCCCTTCTCTTCTGTGGTCACTGTAATTCAAAAGCTATTGAAGAGATGAGACAAGAAAAAAAAATTCAGTACAAATTGGAGAGTGCCTCTGATTGCCTAGCTAGCTAGCCAGGAATTTCTCATGCTTTCAGCCAAAGGTTAAGATGAGTTTTGTAGAAACTCATACTGAGTCTGAGCTTGTCTGTGCATGCATTGACTCTATGCCATAGAGGGATCCCGGTTAAGAACGTATTATCTATACATAGGTATTTTCTAACTATATAGGTTGAATGCTACTAATCTAGCCATGTGCAGGATATGAGATAAGGAAAAGCCCAAAGCTTGAGGTTGCTAATATTGTTTAGGGCTTAACTGAGCCCTGCATTGGGGCACAGCTCCAGGGGGAGTTCTGGGAGGAATTTTGCCCTTGGGAAAACATGACTCCTTCCTAAGCTCCCTGACACTCAGGCAGAGTGCACCTGTTGTTACACCCGTCCAAGGGTTACACTATACTTCACTTGCATGGCCAGCTTATTCTGCTGGCTGGTGTATACAGGGCCATGGACCCACCTTCTCACCCACTTGGAGTATCTTGAAACTTATGGGGCACATGGAAGGACTGCAATTGTGCCTTGCTGCTACACAGGGATATGAGGAGGGGCTGCACTCCATTTACCTCCTTGTTCACTTGGAGCCCAATCCAACTCCACATAGAGTCAATGGGAATCTTTCTACTGAATTTACTGCAAGGCATAACCTGCCTCTTAATGAGCATTGCTTTGACTCTCTGCCTCTTTGGCGGCAGATCACAATTTTTAATATCACAGGTACACAAGTAACAAATGGCAAAGGAAAGAGCCTCTCCAACAGCAGCCCTAGAAAACAAGATTATTTTTGATTTACCAAGTGCACAAGGTTACTTCTGGGCTACTGTACATTAAATAGTAGCCTGGATTTGAATAACTGGGTCTGCATCAATTCTAGCAGGAGCTCAAATCTTGTGGCACTAGAGCAGAGGTAGGCAAACTACAGCCCGCGACCATCCTGCCCGGCCCCTGAGCTCCTGGCCTGGGAGGCTAGCCCCTAGCCCAGGGGTCGGCAACCTTTCAGAAGTGGTGTGCCGAGTCTTCATTTATTCACTTTGATTTAAGGTTTCGCGTGCCAGTAATACATTTTAACGTTTTTAGAAGATCTCTTTCTAGAAGTCTATAACATATAACTAAACTATAGTTGTATGTAAAGTAAATAAGGTTTTCAAAATGTTTAAGAAGCGTCATTTAAAATTAAATTAAAATGCAGAAGCCCCCGGACCTGTGGCCAGGACCCCAGCAGTGTGAGTGCCACTGAAAATCAACTCGCATGCTGCCTTCGGCACGTGTGCCATAGGTTGCCTACCCCTGCCCTAGCCCCTCCCCTGCTGTCCCCCTAACCCCGCAGCCTCAGCGTGCTGCGCTGCCAGTGCTCTGGCCCACCGCTCCTGCCGGGCAGTGGCGTGGCTGGCTCTGGCATGGTAAGGGGGCGAGGAGCGGGGGGTTCCAGGAGGCAGTCAGGGGACAGGGAGCAGTTGGATGGGGCAGAGGTTCTGGGAGTAAGGGAGGTGGTCAGGGGACGGGGAACGGGGGCGGGGGTTGGCTAGGCATGGGAGTCCCAGGGGACCTGTCAGGGGGCGGGGGTGTGGATAAAGGTCGGGGCAGTCGGAGCGGGGGCGTTGGCTGGGGGTTGGGTCCCTGGGGAGTGGTTAGGGGCAGGGGGCCTCGGGAGTGGGCGGTCAGGGGACAAGGAGCACGGGGGGTTGGATGGGTCAGGGTTCTGAGGGGGGCAGTCAGGGGGCGGGAAGTGGGAGGGGGCGGAGACCAGGCTGTTTGGGGAGGCACAGCCTTCCCTACCCGGCCCACCATACAGTTTTGCAACCCCAATGTGGCCCTCGGGCCAAAAAGTTTGCCCACCCCTGCTCTAGAAAAAGAGTAGCATTAAAACTGCTATTCCAAATACATTGGTACAGTACCAGGGATTATTTTAAATTAAATACTGTAAACCTTTTTTAACCATTGGCCAAATTCTTAAATGTGATGTGAACTCCAGGGGCCAGTTGCAGCATTCTGCTCAATGTACTTCAAACTGTCCCAAAAATAATGAGGGTTTGATACTGCAAATCTAAATAGCCCTATTATTTAAATTATAGAGTAACTCATAATTTTATTGGAATATTAGGACACATTCTACAAATAAACTAGTCACTTGTTCCTTTAATTCAGATGGCAGTTTAATATATTTACATCTGATGCTACCAAAACCTTGCCCAGATAGCAGTATTTCATCTCACCTTACATACTGGAAAGTACAAAGACTTCATTCAATCCTGACTGCAAGCAGTCACCAGTTGCACCCCAGTTAGAGTTAAACTCTGCAAATTGCAGTATCCGAACCAATAAGGCTAAGGAGAGGAAGGGTGATGCACACCACCTGAAAGCTTTCAGCTCAGGGCCAGAAAAACTGAATTCAATAGGACTCAGTGTTCTGCCTGCATGGAGCTCACTGCAGGAACAAGGCCCAGGATTCCAGCACTTATGCTTTCAGCCAGAACCATAAAACTGCAGAGAGGCACAAACGTTAAAAATATAGATGGCAAAGATATTAAATTTTGTGCAGCACCTGGCACAATGGGGTCGTGGTCCACAACTAGAGCTCTGTAACCCTACCACAATGCAAATAATAAATGAAGAGAAACTAAAAAATATTTTGGTTCAGATTTAATTCAGGTTTTGGGCTACAGTTTGGGATGGTGTTTTTTGTTTTGTTTTTTAATCAGACTTGGTTTATCATACCTAGCTCCCTGCCATTGATTTTTCTGTCCCTTAGTCATCCACTTTATCCTGCATCCATGATTCTACCTTTGTCCTCAGTAAGGAGATTACACCATACTGCATTAAAAAAAAAATCAATATATGTCTCTTGACCCTCTCTGATTAACATCATTCTTTTGCTAAGAGAGATTTAGTTTTTGATCTGACTGTCCCTCTGGTGGGGTTGTGTGTGTGTGTGTGTGTGTGTGTGTGTGATAGCAGGTTTATTTAAATAAAGGAATAGTGTTGTATACAACGATGATTGTAATCTTGGCTATTTCCTATTTGCTTAATTACTTCATTGACAATTATTTTCCAAGGAATAATTTTAAACAACTGGAAAAAAAATAGAAACTTGAGACCCTGGCAGGAGAAGCCCTGCATCCTTGCCCAAGGCCCTAGCAGAAGCAGTAAACAACAGATACAATTGCTAGAGCTGGTCAAACAGTAATCATCCAATAGACTGATTCATTTCACAATATTATTTAAACAAATTGTATGACCTTTTTCCTCCATTATTCACGCTATTTATAGATCTCAGTAAAAAAGTCATGAAAGTTCACAAATATCTAGGATTTTACATATTTTTTCGAATAAAATTTGTACTTAGCATTGCTCTCCCAGTTCAGTAAATGCAGCAGTAAAGCCTAGACCATAGCAGTCAAGAGACCAAGGTAATAAGGTAGGGGTCAGTAGCAGGATTCCTAAGGGAGCTCTAAGCACCCCTAAAGATGACACAGCTGTAAACATTTTTTTTTATGTAAAGAGTCACAATTTTTGTAATCTAAACAATTAATTAGTATACTGACCTGGTGTCCCTGAGAAAAAGGTTCAAAATTTCTCTCTCAATCCTTAGAGCAAACATAAATCTTCTAAGAGGTTCCCTCCCCCTCCCCCAATCAGATTAACCAAAACAAGTCGTTTTGCTACAGTTTAAGACAAATGTAATTTAGCTTTGTATTCTTTTGGGGATTACATTTTGTTGTGTTATTTTTCATAGCTGCAGCCCCGATGCTGCAAACTCGTGAACACGTGAGTAGCTTAATGCACAAGAGGAGTCCCACAGAGCTCACCAGGACAATTCACAAGCATCCGCATAAAATGTGTGCAAGAGCAGGGCCTAAGACATTAAAGACAACGAGGATAAGTAAACCAGAGACCATTTGTCAGTTCCTGCATTGATGACAAAGGGAACAGTCAGCACAGTACCTGTGGCTGCTGACTTCAGGCAGGTAAGGAGGTTTTTGCTTTTCTCCCTGCAAATCTATAAGAATTTTTCTCATTCTTTGTGGTTTATCATTCAGACCTTCCATCTTCAGGAGCTGAAAGCTTCTGGGCTGAGCAACGTAGAACTTGGTGGCTGATGCAGATTTTTTCTTTTAGGTTGAGGTTCACATACGTTTAAAAGAACACAAAAACGCAAAACATAGCTTTTGGGTAGACACCCACTTAGTTTTGTATATTCTCTGTCATAATTCAAGCCCGGTTCACTCAGAACTCAATCCCAGGCTCACAGGAAAGTGTGTAAACCTGGCCCAAGTTTTGGCTGTGTAACAAACCCCAAATCAGAGAGTGTCACATGGCCTGGATTTTGCTGATGAACGTTTTGCACAAGCCTTCTTTATGAGCACATCTGTACAGCTAACATTGAAACTTAACATGAGCTTGTAGAATGCTTTCCCCATCCCCCACAGTTATATGAGCTGCTGTTGGAGACGGACTTGTTTACAAAAGCCACAATGTTCCCTACTTAATTGTGTTAAAAACAAAACAAAACAAAAAAACCCTCAGAATAAACTATGAAAATTGAGCTGCCAAGTTTGTCCAGGTCACATGACACTTGGTCACACCAAGTCTTCTTATTCTAAGAACTCGTTAGTAATGTAGTAGTACAGTGTGGTGTTGTCAGCTGGCATGGTAGGAACTCTTCACGTCAGATGCCACAGGAGACTCTCTGACATGACAGAGCCTTCACAGCCCTCTGGCAGGACAGGTAAGTCAAAAAGGACCTTCCTGAACTTTCACAGTAAACACAACTGGATCAGCTAAGCACTTCCATGCAGGAGACTGATTCCATGATATCTCGCTATCCAGCCAGTTAATACTGCTGCTAAACAGTTAACACAAGTTATTTAGGTCAGCCCTTAAACAATTCTCATTTCCAGCTGTCTAGCTTAGGCATTTCTAATGCTCCCATCACTGTAGTATAGAGGCAACTAGTTTAGTTGGTTTAAACACCAAATTTGTCAAACTTTTATATGTCCAAATCCTTATGCTGTCTGAATTATTCTTTAAGAGCTGTGTTGTTTCCATTCCTTTCTAAGAGCTGAGTGAAGCTAGCAGTACAGAGACATTCTGCTCCTACGCATGGCTTCACTGATCAGGTATGCAGGGCTCAGCTCGGGCTCTTCTGTCATGATTGCAATGTTCTGCCATTCCCCTAGTTGATTTGACTTTTTAATGGTGTCCACTACGCACAAGGCATACAGGCAGTCATCGAAAGTCGCAGCCATGGTGAGGGGCCTCCCATCCCAGGTTCTCCTGTCATCCTGGTCCTCAAACGCTTGCCGGATGGCCTGTACCATCTTAATAGTGCCCTGAAGGTATGGGGATGGGATATCACTGAAGGCCTTCTCAGGCAGTAAGGAGTTGCTGACTGGCATAGAGTCCTTTAGAAGGAGCTCTCTTTGAGGAGAGCTGTTGCTCTGCCCATACAGATCAGTGCCTATTACAATCAGTCGTCCAGTTGAACCTACCATAATAATATCCTGTTTGAACTCCCCAGGGACATTGAAGTTGAGGGTCACAGTGCAGCACACCCCACCTTCCAGAACCATTTGAAACGTGCAAAAGTCATCACTGGTGATCTGACGTATTCCCTTGATGTGGTCTGTCTGTTTCACAAAGGTCTTGAGCAGCCCATGCACTTTCACAGCCTTCTGGCTGGTGAGGAAGGTCAAGAGGTCGATGATATAGGTACCGACCGAGTGTAAACCCCCGCCCCCCATCAGGTCATCACAGCTCCAGTTGTACTTCTTGCCCAGCAGACTTCCGCTGTGCACCTGCACCTCGCACACCAGCAGCTCCCCCACATAGCCCTCCTGAATCAGCTGCTTCATTTTCACAAAGGCAGGCAGGAAGCGGAGAACGTTCCCCATGATGCTCATGAGCTTGGGGTAATAATGGGCCGCAGACATCATCCTGAAGGCATCCAGGGGAGTTGCTGTTCGGTCACAGATAACATTTTTTCCAATGCCTGCAAAACAGTAAAAAACAAAACAAAACAAAAAAACAGAGTGAGCGAGCTCAGGACGTTTTAATAGGCAAATATTGATCAAGACCAACAAGAGACATATTGGAAAGAAGATAACATTTTGTGAACCAGTGGTACCATATGCACAAAAACCCCGCAGTGTATTCATAAGATGTGTCAACTGACTGAGTACTGCAATGAAAACGAACCCCTTCCTGTTTTCAAAATTCATTCACGCCAAAAAGTGGGTATGAAAGTGAGAAGTTAATCCTAGCCTTCCCTCATTCTTACTTGCAGAAGCGCATGGTAGAGGAGATCTTATGCCCATAGTAGCCCACACTAGGACACTGAAAATCCTGGGATTTTCTTCTGAGGGGACTCATTTCTCCATCCCTGCCCTTTCTGTTTGATGGATTTTGTAGGGGAGGGAAGTGTATTGGATTGATTATTTTGGGTGGGGGAGCGGGAAATAGTATTTTACCCACAGAACATCACGTATCATTCTGGCTGAGGTGCAAAATATTTGAGGGAGCCCCTTGTCAAGATGTTAGTAACATATCTAGGATGTCAAAGACGACCTATGATGTCTCAAAAGAGGTCAAACATGTAAACGTATAGCTGGGACGATCTGTCCTCCCACATTTCCCATATGTGCACATTGTTATATTGAACCTTTTATGAGGGTTCTGTTTTAACAAGCTACCTGCGTGTCCTGAATGCAATTCGGGCTTTGATATCTAATAGTTGTTTTATTATTGACTTCTTCTTGATGGCTTCTTTCTTCCTGTACATATACAAATGCAGTGCTGGCAAGGTAAAGTTACACGAATAGACCTGCAATAACTGCTAGCATGCAGAAAGCAATTCAAAATGACAGCAAGGTAAATCACTTTGTACCATTCCAATTTGAGCATTAGTTACAAGTAACACCTGTTCCCAGACAAAAAAAGACTCAAATTGTTGTATATATTATGGCTGTACCTGGGCTTTTCACATGTAAAGGAGGGTGAAAAGAACTGACAGTTCTTGAAGTCTTAATTCCATTTATAATAGCACAGATGGATTTTTATGTCCGATGAGCAATGGCAGAACTCCTATCACCTATCCGGCCCTGCATTATGTCCTGCCTTCTTCTAAACAAAAGCCTGAGAGGAGGAAGGAAGGTCTTGTGGAGAAGGACTCAGGAGATGCATATTCAGTTCTTGTCTCAGACTAAATGTGTGATCTCAGGAAACCCATTTAATCTCTGTGTGACTCAGTCCCTTGTCTCTAAAACTGAGTATAGTACTTCCCTCCTTCATAGGGGTGTTTTGAGGATATGTTCATAAATGTTTATGAGGTGCTCAGATGGGAGGTCATAAGGACAGACAACCCCTTGGGGTCAGACTGGGACCACTCACATAAGTAACTAACTGCTCGCCCATGGGGAGGAAGAAGGGTCACAATCTGGCCTTGACAATCAATTCATATACACTTCCTATTCAGTCTTTGTCTGCTACATATTGGACCAATCAGAATTGGAGCTAGGGCTGTCACCACCGAAGAGGTAGTCAAAACTGGTAAATCATCTCCACAGGACTGAATGAACTGGACTAAACTGGACTGAATGAACGGTGTCCCCACCGGCCCCTTTTATATGGCCACTGACAAATAGGCCTTGTTTACACTGGTGACAGCATGTAACTTACGTGTAGCCACACATTACAGTGAAAAGCAGGCTGTGTCCTCACTGCAGTGTGTAGCTACACGCATCAGTTAAAGGCTCTGGCAGTGGGGAGGCCAGAGCCTTTCCCCACTGCTGGAGTCTTTCTCCACGGCAGGGAAAGGCTCTGGCAGCAGGACACTATGCTGCTCAAAATACCACTGTAAACGTGGGGAGGTACTGCTTGGGTGAGTAGAGAGCCATGTAAGGTGCATACCCTAGGGTTCTGGTGTGTCTTCACTCTATTCACCTAAGCAATGCCTCGCCACCTGCACTGCTATTTATACCCATGCTAGGGGGAGTGTGGAATATATGTACTCAACATGCTGCTGTACGTGTAGACATAGCTATAGACACACACAATCTTTTTCTAATTGTATTATATTCTACTGGATTCCCTTTCAAACAGTCATGGTTTTCTTTTCTACATTTCCTTTCTCATCTTTACAGATTGCCTACAGACTGGTGTCTAAGCTTTCTCCTTTACAGTCAGCCTTCTCCTGCTCCTGTGTAATTCCTTCAGCGATGTCACAGTGCAGGATTTGTTTGCATTCATCTTCCTGACCCATATTCCTTTAACAGGTAATGTTCTGCTGTACCATTTGCTTCAGACACAGCTCGGTGATTATTTCAATGAGCCATTTTCTGTTACATGGATGCTTTACAGTAGGCCCTAGTCTGGACAATTAGCCATGAACACAGAGAAAATGTCAGGTGCAACTATATCCTAGGGGGTCATCATGTGATGTGAGAACATGAGACTAATAAGAAATTCTAACGATTATTCCTAGACTGACAGTATTTCACAAGGATTACATCTGCTTGCCACAGTTTTCTTTAAGTCTTTGCTGGAGGATAATAGGGGTGGTCAAATGGTCCCTGATACAGCCAAATCCCTCAATGAGGAATCCACAGGGGCTCAATCGTGAGCTGATCTACCCCATGAAAGAGAATCCCCTGAGTTCAGTTCCTCTTCCAGTTTGATTCTCATCCTCCTCTCCTTTCCCCCAACACATGCTGCTGGGTTTTTTTCCTGTCGTCCACAGTCATTGATCACGTAAGATATGCAGCAACGTACATGTGTGTACATGAGGGCAAGACTGCATTGTGTTTGTAAACTCTTTGGAGCTCTGGGACAATCTTTACATGTGTGTAGAGTGCCTAGAACAACTGAGCCCCGATTGGGACCTCTTGGAGCTACCAATATACAAACAAACAAACAAACAAACAAACAAAACAAACAACAATATAATAAGACTGAGCGCCCTATGGGCCCTGAGACACAGGGGAATTGCCTTTAGAATCAGTGGGAGTTAGGCCCACACATGGAGGGATGAGCAGAACCAAGAGAGAGAGAGAAAAGGAGGGAGAATCTTGCAGTTTCTTTTAGCAGCATTTTAAATCGGATTCTTTATTAATTAAAAAAGCCTCAAATGCAAACCTTTAGAGTCATTGTTTATTTATGCATATCCTAATCCCCGTACTATGCTCTACTCTGGCGGGGATTTGAACAGCTTTCTGCTTTATGCCCAGATAGCTCTTATATTATCACCAGCACTGATCTTTCAGGAGGACGCTGTTCAGCATTTGACTCTATGCGCTACTAATCTCTGTCCTCTCCACAGCTGTAAATTTACAAGCAGCTACAATCGTTTTCTTGAAACAGGGAGAACATGAAAGGTTTGCACAAAACAGCTGATTTAGAACACTCTGACATGTTTTGCAGACCGAATAAGAAACAGGGAGATCAAAATCCACCCACCTCTTCCCCCCTCCCCTCCCCGCCCGGCCCCGGGTTTCCTTCTCCAAAGAAGAAATGAGCACCTTAGCTTTGAGCTGTGGGAATGAATCAGCTGCATGCTGACCAAAAGGCAGGGTTGAAGGAGAAACTCTTCTTTAAATATTGACAGTCTCAAGAAAACATATATGTGTCTGGCTGCAAGTTCCAGAATTGGATTCTTTAGGAATGAACCTAGATACAATATTTACCTCCTGCTGCCCAGGCCTAGGGCCAAGGTCTAGTCATGTCCACTGTTGGACAAGATACTTTTGAGAAACAAATTTAGCAAGGGAAATAACGGTCATTCTACTGGTCATTTCATCACTGCCTTAAACTGAGCTAAGCGCAGCTTTTCCTACAAACATCTTTCACAAGAGCAGCTCACTGTTGCAGATAACAAGAGCCACATTAATGACACAAAAGCTAAGAAAAACATAGCAAGCTTATTTCAGCAAAAATAGTAAGATATTTACCCATAGGGAGAAGCACAAGATTCCGATACATCTAATTTATATAAAACAATATGTATGTTGTGAATCTCAAAAGGACTGGCTCTTTTGCAGGTTCTTATCCCTGTCCTGGAGTTCTTAAATAAAATAATTCTACACAAGTATTGACCATCCAGAGTGCTCAATCCCACCCCATTTCCGAGTGTTCTACTCACCCCCTATTGTTGTATTACCTTCAAAGGGGGGGAAATTCACACTTTTAATAAAGTAACTTAGTTTCCAGAGCTTCCGTCACCATTTCTACCATCCTACCTTCAAAAGGCCCCCCCAGCTCATAGAGACTCTCTCTTTGGCTGACACTGCTCCTCAAGTCAGAAGGTGTGGCATAGCTAGAAAGGGTCACTCCATATAATGGGCCAAATTCTGCTGTCAGTGACACATGCGTATCTCTGTCATCACTCCAGTGGTTTCACTCTGGAGTCACACCCGTGTGTAACTAAGCTCAGAATCTGGCCCAATTGTGAACAGGTGCTGGGTCTGAACAGTAGAAATGGGGACTTCAGTTTCAGGTTGTTGTATAAGTATTGTAGCTTCCACAATGCTCCTGTGCCTTGGCAAATTGGAGAGAGAGAGAGACAAGCAATGGAATCACTCCAGGATATCACATGCAGCAGTTCAGTCAAGTGTTCTGCTTGCCTTAAAAGTGAGGTGGGGGGACTAGTTGGTTCAGGAGATTGGCAAAGTGACACAAGAGGCTTTGGCTTCTAGGTCACTAGTTTACATTCAGATATGGCACTTGTCACTGAAAGCTGTTGGCATTTGTCAGCTTTTGAAATGAGCTGGTGGTTTTAGTCTAAGTCCAGGAGTCTACTTCACAAAACCATCACTAATATTAGCCCTACTTGGTGTCCTTGTTAGCAAGCTCAGCAGAGGCCAAAAACTGAATGAGCTATGGAGACTACTAATTTTGAGAGTAAAATACACCCCTGAGCAAAACCCTATACACACACACACACACACAATACAGGGCCTACACACCACTTAGGTCCTATTCAATCCTTATTTTGAGCAT